GGAAGAACCCTTGGTGATGGAGGCTCACTAAATTTGGTCCTGGCAAAGTTCTGATTAGCTTGAGATTTAAAAAGCAAGCTGGGACCTGAAAAGTTAGAGTTCCAATTTTGATTATTTGGAAAATTTGTGTTCTTTCCCCACCTCCCATAGTCTGCCCTGCAAATGTTTATGAGTTATAATCCTGTCTTTTTTCTTATGAAGAATCTTCACTGGGGGATTCTGACCCTGGAACGATTTTTGTTTTTGTTTTTTAAGATGGAGTCTCACTCTGTCGCCCAGGCTGGAGCTCAGTGGCGTGATCTTGGCTCACCGCAACCTCTGCTAATTTTTCTATTTTCAGTAGAGACAAGGTTTCACCATATTGGCCAGACTGGTCTCAAACTCCTGACCTCAGGTGATCCACCTGCCTCGGCCTCCCAAAGTGTTGGGACTACAGGCATGAGCCACTGCACGCAGCCTGGTCTATGAAGCTGTTCTTGGTCCTGCTAGCATTTCTAGATTGAGGGGCTGGAGTATTATACCTCTCTCCACCACCTGTCTTCAGTTTCTTTGTTACCTGTTCTCTTCCTTGGTGTCAAGACCAGGACAATAGGTATTGCTTTCCGACAGTTCATTTCCTTTTGTCTCAATACAGAAGTTTTCATGGGCTGATCTGCTGAGTTCAGCCTGGGAACTGAGGCCAACATTGGAGTCTCCTCATCACGCAAGTTTGAAAGAAGTCCTAGTGACTTGAAGCTCAGAACCGTGGATGGCAGAGGCTCCCTTTGGACATGGAATTCTCCATCCCTTTCCAGAGAGGGAACAAAGCCCACAGCACTGGTGAGTGACCTGCTGACCATTCCCAAGTGTTCAACCCTGAGATTTAAAAAATAACCTTTTATCTTATTTTTACAAAAATAACATGGTGGCAGGGTATGGTGGCTCATGCCTGTAATCCCAGCACTTTGGGAAGCCGAGGCAGTGGATCACCAGAGATCAGGAGTTTGAGACCAGCCTAGCCAACACGGTGAAATACTGTCTGTATTAAAAATACAAAAGTTGGCCAGACGTAGTGGCAGGCGCCTGTAACCCCAGCTACTCAGGAGGCAGAGGCAGCAGAATTGCTTGAGCCCAGGAGGCAGAGATTGCAGTGAGCCAAGATCGTGCAATTGCACTCAAGCCTGGGCAACAAGAGTGAGACTTCATCTCAGAACAAATAAACAAGCAAAAATAACATGGCATAAAACTTATGCCTAGCATCCAGCCACCTAGAGATATCACTTTCCTGTTGTCTATCCATATTATATCTCCGTGTTTTCTTTTTAAGTCAAAACCTGTTGTTTTTTTTTTCCCTCAGGCTAGAGTGCAGTGAGCGGTATAATCTCAGCTCACTGCAACCTCCACCTCCCGGATTCAAGCGGTTGTCCTGCCTCAGACTCTCGAATAACTGTTATTACAGGTGCCCACCACTGCGCCCGTCTAATTTTTTTATTTTTAGTAGAGATGAGGTTTCACCATGTTGGCCAGGCTGGTCTTGAACTACTGATCTTGTGATGCGCCCACCATGGCCTCCCAAAGTGCGGGGATTACAGGCGTGAGCCACTGCACTCATTCCCAAAATCTATTTTGTAAACTGCTTTCCCCCACTCAATATATAGTGGGCAATTTTTTTTTTTTTTTTTTTTTTTTGAGCCGGAGCCTGACTCTGTTGCCCAGGATGGAGTGCAGTGGCATGATCTCAGCTCACTGCAACCTCTGACTCCCGGGATCAAGCAATTCTCCCGCCTCAGCTTCCCAAGTAGCTGGGACTACAGGCACACACCTCCCTGCCCAGCTAATATTTGTATCTTTAGTACAGACAGGGTTTTACCATGTTGTCCCAGCTGGTGTTGAACTCCTGACTTTTAGTCATCTGCCTGCCTCGGACTCCCAAAGTGCTAGGATTATAAGTGTGAGCCATCCTGCCTGGCCTATAGTGAGCACTTTCTGTTTATCATAAATATTCTCCCATAAAATGACTTCAAATATGAGCAATAAATTCTACTAAAAGGCTGGTGTGGTGGGCCACACCTACAATCCCAGGACTTCAGGAGACCAAGGCTCAACGATGGCTTGAGCCTGGGAGTTCAAGACCAGCCTGGGCAACACAGAGAGGCTCCCATCTCCACAAAAAAATTTAAAAATTAGCCATGGGTGGTGGTGTGAATCTGTAATCCCAGCTACTCGGGAAGCTGAGGCAGGAGAATCACTTGATCCCAGGAGTTGGAGACTGCAGTGAGCCATGATCATGCCACTGCACTGCACTGCAGTCTGGGCAAAGAGTGAGGCCCTGTCTGAAAACAAAAAGTCTGCTTAATGAATTTCCATGATTTAGAATCAGTCTCCTATTGTTAGTCATTTACTTAGCTCCAATTTTTCTACACAAAGAGCCTTGCTAAACATCCCTGAAAATTAATGTATGCATATATTCTGGATTGTTTTTCATTCAAATATATTTCTAGACATGAATTAATGAGACCAAACGTACGTAAGAAATGGAAAGGCTTGGGTGGGCCCGGGTCTGCTGACAGCAGCACCATGACAGCTCAGTGACAACACAGTGGCGGAGACCTCGGCCGTGGCTACTCCTTACTTTCTTGATTTACCTGGTTGCTTCCTCCCTCTTCCCCCAGTAATTATTATTCAAAACTTCCCAAAATAAAGCCGGTGTCCTGATTTTAACTGCAAACAGTGCCAGAGGTTTCACCTGAAGGAAAGACTGACCCAGCAGGGAGATCCAGCAACAAGGGTGAGGGTGGGAGTTCCAGAGGGGAAGGGGTACAGGTGGGGCCCGGAGCCAGGTTACAGATGCATGCTCCTCCCAGGTAGCGCCAGGCCGGGCCCTGCCCCTCCCATGCATAAAAGTGGCAGGAGGTTGTGACAGTGACCCTGATAGCAGGTGGCTGGCCTCCTCTATGCCACTGACCATGGAGTGCTGTAGTGTCTGTCTTCCTTCTCTCTCCTAACCCTCCCTTGCCCCACACCTTTGGCCTTCCTCCCTTTCCCCTTCACCAGGTCCAGATGAGTAGGTTGAGCCCAGCCTGCACAAAGGCCTCTGGCGGGGGAGCCGCAGCAGACCACAGGCATCTATCTATAGGAGTGTCCAGGTTGCATCTGGGGACCAGCCCTTGGAGGAAAAGGTGTAACTCAGTGCTCTTAACCTACACACTGTAATGGGGGTGACTGATTTCTTTTGGTGGGGTTTTTCTTTTCGACAGAAGGGGTCCTGGATATGAGAAAGAAGTTCTTTTTTTTTTTTTTTCCCCAGAGACAGAGTCATGCTCTGTCACCCATGCTGGAGTGCAGTGGTATGATCTCAGCTCACTGCAACTCCGCCTCCTGGGTTCAAGCGATTCTTATGTCTCAGCCTCCTGAGTAGCTGGGACTACAGGTTTGTGCCATCACACTCAGCTAATTTTTGTATTTTTGTGGAGACAAGGTTTCGCCATGTTGGCCAGGCTGGTCTCAAACTCTTGATCTCAAGTGATCCACCCGCCTCAGGCTCCAAAGTGCTGGGATTATAGGTCTGAGCCATTGCGCCAGGCCAGAAAGAAGTTCTTGGTGGGACAAGACATCAAAACCAGCTGGCATCCAGTTCCCCGTGCTTGCTTTCTGTTTCACTAGTTGTTCAGGGAGTGAAGAGATGAAGATTTAAGTGCAAGTACGATGCAGGCCGCTCACCTGGCATCTCGTGATGTTTTTTCATTATTCACTTTCCCTAAGTCTGATTCTCCTGTATATATCCTTCACTACTCCATAAACCTCTCCAATGCAAGGGACCAGCTCTTATATTTCTTATGTTGTTTCCTAGATAGATAGATGGAGATTGTGTGTATATATATATATGATACATAACATATTTGTATATACTTAATACTTTTTTTTTTTTAGATGGAATTTCGCTTTTGTTACCCAGGCTGGAGTGCAATGGTGTGATCTCAGCTCACCACAACCTCCACCTCCTGGGTTCAGGTAATTCTCCTGCCTCAGCCTCCTGAGTAGCTGGGATTACAGGCAAGCGCCACCATGCCCAGCTAGTTTTTTGTATTTTTAGTAGAGATGGGGTTTCACCATGTTGACCAGGATGGTTTCGATCTCTTGACCTCGTGATCCACCCGCCTCAGCCTCCCAAAGTGCTGGGATTACAGGCTTGAGCCACTGCACCCAGCCCGGCTTTTTTTTCTTTTTTTTTTGAGAGGGAGTTTTGCTCTTGTTGCCCAGGCTGGAGTGCAGTGGTGCAATCTTGGCTCACTGCAACCTCTGCCTCCCAAGTTCAAGTGATTCTTCTGCCTCACCTTCCTAAGTAGCTAAGATTACAGGCATTTGCCTCCATGCCCACCTAAGCTTTTGTATGTGCAGCAGAATTTTTCCATGTTGGTCAGGGTGGTCTTGAACTCCTGACCTCAGCTGATTTGCCCACCTTGGCCTACCAAAGTGCTGGGATTACAGGCATGAGCCACTGCATCTGGCCTACTTTTTTTTTTGAGACAGAGTCTCACTCTGTCACCCAGGCTGCAGTGCAGTGGCACAATCTCAGCTCACTGCCACAATCTCAGCTCACTGCAACCTCCGCCTTCCAGGTTGCAGCTATTCTCCTGCCTCAGACTCTGGAGTATGGGATTACAGGTGCCCACTACCATGTCCAGCTAATTTTTGTATTTTTAGCAGAGATGGGGTTTCACCACGTTGGTGAGGCTGGTCTTAAACTCCTGATCTCAGGTGATCCACCTGCCTCGGCTTCCCGAAGTGCTGGGATTACAAGAATGAGCTACCTTGCCAGGCCTAAAGGCTTTGAATTTATTAACTTACCTAACAAAAAAATACATTTAACTCTTCTCTGAACTAGGTCCTATTGTGTTATCAACCTCAGTTGTCAAAAAACTCCTATGCTTGAGATTTATTTACTTAATATATAGAAAAAGTATTAAAACAGCAAGTAGTCCAATTTCACAAATGGTGTAACTGTTATTTGTAGTACCATGGCAAGAAGTGTGCAAAATATCAAGGAAATTAAATAATTTTTTGACCCTCCAATAGTGGTTTTTACAATGTTTTTACTAGGAAAAATTAAATCTGGAGACCTGGGTCACTGGGCCTACATTTTTAATTCAGCCTCGATGGGGTTTGCAGAGCCCTTCCATACCACTTCACCTCCAGCACCCTGACACAAAGAACAGAAAATGAAATACCGCATGTTCTCACTCATAGGTGGGTGTTGAACAATGAGAACACATGGAGCACTACACATGTAGGGGAGCACTACACACTGGGGTCTGTTGGGGGGAATAGGGGAGGGACAGCAGGAGGTGGGGAGTTGGGGAGAGATAGCATGGGGAGAAATACCAGATATAGGTGAAGGGGAGGAAGGCAGCAAATCACACTGCCACATGTGTACCTATGCAAGTGTCTTGCATGTTCTTCACATGTACCCCAAAACCTAAAATGCAATTAAAAAAAAGAAACATTAAAAAAAAAAAAGCCTAATTGGAGCTTCCTTCAACCTTCCTCCTCCCTTAAACCCAAGTTCTTGAGCAGTACAGCAAACTTTGCCACTTTCTAACCCAGCTACTAGCGCTGCTGGGCTGCTCTTAGGGTGCCCTCTGCTGGCCATACATGGAAGCACTAGTAAAAGTCTTAAAACACAAACATACTCCTTTAAGAATTCCAAGAATAAAAATTAAATGTTAAAAAAAATTTTGGAAGAAAGAAAAAATTAGTTTGTGTTTGTTTTGCTTAGCATCTTTGGTCTCTTGGATTCAATGGGAGGTAGCTGTTGATGCAACAGGAGGTAGTTAACAAAAGTTTGGATGGCTGGCTGTGGTGGCTCAAGCCTGTAATTCCAGCACTTTGGGAGGCCGAGGCGGGTGGACCACCTGAGGCCAGGAGTTCGAGACCAACCTGGCCAAATGATGAAGCCCCATCTCTACTAAAAATAAAAAATTAGCCAGGCATGGTAGTATACCCCTATGATCCCAGCTACTTGGGGGGCTAAACAGGAGAATCACTTAAACCTGGGAGGTAGAGGTTGCAGAGAACTTAGATCATGCCACCGCACTCCAGCCTGGGCAACAAAGACCTTGTCTCAGAAAAAAGAAAAAAAAGAAGTTTGAGAGCTCCAAGGTCACACTCCAGAAGTTTTAATTATTTTATCTTATTATATAGTTTTTGTAGACATAGAATCTTGCCATGTTTGTCATGCCCAGCCCTCCAGAAGCTTCTTAAAAGCACATTGAAGGCCAGGCACAGTGGCTCACACCTGTAATTCCTACACTTTAGTAGGCCAAAATGGGAGGATCACTTGAGTTTGGGAGTTCAAGACCAGCCTGGGCAACAGGGCAAGACTCCATCTCTACAAAAAAATATTTAAAATTAGCCAGGCAAAATTTTTATTAGTGGTCCCAACTCCTCAGGAGGCTGAGGTGGGAGGATCGCCTGAGCCTGGGAGGTGGAGACTGTAGTGAACCAAGATCATGCAACTGCACTACAGCCTGGGAGACAGAGTAAAACCCAGTCTCAAAAGGAATAATAATAAAATAAATTCCATTAATCGATTAATTAGGGAAATACAAATCAAAACCAAAACACAACCAAGCAGCTGAGCCAGTAGTCTCAGCTACTCCAGAGACTGAGGCATGTGTCATCTGCAGGTGGCACTGCCCTTGGTGGGAGGGCGGACAGGCCTCTCTACTCAAAGGTGGTGACCACGTTTAGGTTCTGAGATGGGAAGTGCAAGGGGAATAGGTCACGGTGGCCTTTTTTTTTTAGTATAACTTTTCCTTTTTTGCTGTCTAGTCATCCTCGTCGGTCTTCTGCTTCCTGGTATGGACATCATCATCCTCAGCATCTTCAGCTGCCCGGTTGCCGTAGCCGACTCAGCTTCCTCATCTTCATCTTCATCCTCTTCCTCACCATCACCTTCTTCCTCTTCTTCCTCCCTGCCTTCCTCCTCTTCTTCATTGACCTCAGCGTTAGCCTCCTGCTCCCCATTTTCCTCATTCCCGTTAGCTGGGGCGTCTCTTCCGTTTTCCGCCTCTTCCACAACTTCCTTCTTCTCCTTTAAGTCCTTGGTGTGATTTCGGAGCTGTGGCTGCGTCTGACATGGTGGGGACGTGGGTGATCCGATGCAGGAGGTTAAAAAGAAAGCCAGAGTTCAGGGACTCTGGCGATAAAGCTGCCAGAGTCCTCAGTGGATGAGTTGAGGCACACAGTGGAGGCGGCTGCCGTGAGCAAGGAGCTGGATGAGGAACAATGCAAAGATGGCTTCAGAGCAGCCAGTCTGGATCTCAAACTGTTAAGGCCTAAAGTCATTAGCGCTGCTTTCACCCTCTAAGCCATAGGTGGCTTTTCACTTTATTTTCAACTGAATTCTTTCACTGTTTTGAGTTTAGCAAGCTTTTTTGTCTTTAAAAATATTCAACAATGCAGTTAAGAGGCCAAATGACTTTATGCATGAGACATTGTAAGATGAGGAATTTTCATATAGAAAGGTGAACAGATTGGAGGAAATTATTTACAGTATAAACATTCCTCTGGATTTATACTCTCAGGCTTTCTTAATAAAGTTTCTAACAGAGTTGGAAAGGAGAAGGAAGAGTAACATCTGTTGCACAACTCCAGTTATGTGTAGGACAGATAGGAATATGGGAGAGAGGTGACTTGCCCAAATGACACACTGATTTGGGATCTATAAGGTGGAACCATTGATTCTTATGCATAAGGCTTGATTCAGAATTGCTTTTTATTTTAATGGAAGTTCTGTAGAAAGAAAGGAATACCTGGAAAATTTGAGCTACTTGTAAATGCTTGGAAAATGAGGAAGAGTAGTTTAAAATCTTACCACCCCTATTCTCCTCCTCCTCCTTATCATCATCAGAATCGCAGTCAGTCAAAGGTAGCACTTCATGAGCGTGAACAAGGTCAGTATGAAAACACAAAGTATCAGGAAGTTGCCACACCCAGTGTATACAATTTCCAAGTCACACCTCTCTGTTTCACATTTATTTATTTCTCTGTTTCACTTTAATATGGTTATAAGACCACCAGGTTGGATTGCCTGTTGCACCAAAATGCACCAAAACAGTGGGAGTTGCAGCAGTGAAAGAGATGAATAATTGTAGGAAAACTGAACAAGAAAATGAGAGGAAACGTCAAATCTGCCTTCCTGAGAGTTTCGGGGATGGGGATTTTCAGGGGTCTGGACAGGTGATGGGCTAAAGTATGGGGACTGCTGAATGGTTGAGAAGTGGGGGATGAAGTCATTGGACCAGGAGATGCTGAGTTGGTTTCCTGGTAGGGATCTTTGGACCTGTTGGCATCAGGGATTCTGCTGGAATTCAGGATCTGTAAAACACCTTAAACGATTCTTGGGTAAAAAGGTCCAGTGTCGGGTTCTATCAATGGGAGCAACGGGGAAGCGGTGGTCAGTGTGCTGTGACACCCTCGGTTAGCACCTGCAGGGAAGTGAGTCAGGGCACACCAGTGCACCCTGGTTGATGCCTGACTACAATTCTGCCTAAAGCCTGGCATGTAATTCTCATTAACCCTGTGAGGGTGTTTTTTTCCCTTGGGCTTTTTTCCCATTCTAAGCAACACTTCTATGGATAATTTTGACTACATATTTTTTGTAGCACATACTGGGAAATACTCTGTGTGCTCAAATTAATTTTTTCCAAGACTGTTTCTCATTTTAATATCCCAGAGCTTCTCTTGCATGTTAAGCTACAATGGGTAAAGGAAGGTATATCTTCATTCCTTTGCCAGAAATTAATTGAGTGCCTGGCACTCAAATGCTGTAATTCTACCACTTTGGGAGGCTGAAGCAGGAGGATAGCTTGAGCTCAGGAGTTCAAGACCAGCCTGGACAGGAGGATCACTTGAGCCTAGGAGTTGGAGGCTTCAGTGAGCCGTGATTGCACCACTGCACTCCAGCATGGGCAACCCAGCAGTACCCTGTCTAAAAAAAAATGTCTTGAGTGTTTACTGCATGGTGTCAGGCACTGGGTGAGGCACCGGAAAACAGAGAAACATAATATGGCCCCATGTGTCTCAGCATAAAGCTTACCAGACTGTGCCCATTGTGTTTATTTAAGAATATACTCACAATGCTAGTGGTTCTTTTTATAGCTGTTCATCTTACCTCACCTTTTCCCCCAAATAAAAAATAAGCATTGTTCAATTTTTTTTAAGACAGAGTCTCGCTCTGCCACCAGGCTGGAGAGCAGTGGCATGATCTCAGCTTACTGCAACCTCCACTCCCGGGTTCAAGCGATTCTCCTGCCTCAGCCTCCTGAGTAGCTGGCATTACAGGCACCTGCCACCATGCCTGGCTAATTTTTCATATTTTTAGTAGAGATGGGGTTTCACCATGTTGGCAGGATGGTCTTGATCTGACCTTGTGATCCACCTGCCTCGGCCTCCCAAAGTGTTGCGATTACAGGCATGAGCCACCATGCCTGGCCAGCAATGTTCAGTTTTAAGACACTATGAAGGCCTGGTGCAGTGGTTCACGCCTGTGATCCCAGCACTTTGGGAGGCTAAGGCAACCCAATCATCTGAGGTCAGGAGTTCGAGGTCAGGAGTTCGAGACCAGCCTGGCCAACATGGTGAAACCCCATCTCTACTAAAAATACAAAAATCAGCCAGGTGTATCTGTGAACTCTTGTAATATCAGCTAGTGGAAAGGCTGAGACAGGAGAATCACTTGAATCCGGGAGGTGGAGGTTGCAAGGAGCTGAGATCATGCCATTGCACTCCAGCCTGAGTGACAGGACTGAAACTCCATCTCCAAAAAAAAAAAGACATGATCAAGCTACACGAATCAGATCAAGACAGTGTGGTATTGGAGAAGACTTAGAAGTATAGGTCAGAGGAACAGAATGGAACCTAGACTTAGATCCTCACAAAAATACGGCCAATTGATTGTTTTGAATTGTGGTAAAATACACGTAACGTAATTTTACCATCATAACCATTTTTAAGTGTACAGTTCAGTGTGGTTAAATATATTCATATTGTTGTACAACTAATTTCCAGAACTTTTTCGTCTTGCAAAACAAACTATTTCCGTTAAACAACAACTCCCCCTTTCTCCTTTCCCCAGCTCCTGGCAACCCCTATTTTCTTTCTCTTTCTATAAGCTTTACTATTTTAGGTACCTCATTTAAGTAATCATATAGTATTTGTGACTGGTTTATTTGACTTAATGTAGTGTCCTCAAGGTTCATCCGTGTTGTAGAATTTCTTTTCTTTTCTTTTTCTTTTTTTTTTTTTGAGACAGAGTTTCGCTCTTGTTACAGGCTGGACTGCAATGGCGCGATCTCGGCTCACCGCAACCTGCACCTCCTGGGTTCAGGCAATTCTCCTGCCTCAGCCTCCCGAGTAGCTGGGACTACAGGCACGCGCCACCATGCCCAGCCAATTTTTTGTATTTTGAGTAGAGACGGGGTTTCACCATGTTGACCAGGATGGTCTCGATTTCTTGACCTCGTGATCCACCCGCCTCGGCCTCCCAAAGTGCTGGGATTACAGGCGTGAGCCACCGCGCCCGGCCCGGTCTAGAGCCTTTATCTTGGCCATCGCTGCACAGGCCGCCGCCGCCGCCTTAGACCACAGTGTATATCCTCCTGTAGCTCCTCCCTGTGGGTCCTGATGGGTCTTCTAAGCCTAAAGGAGAAGTCTGTCCCCCTCCCTACTCCCTCCCACAGCCCTTCATAGATGTGGGTCTGCCTTGCTGGTCTTCATTTTGGGGCCCAACATCTCCAGTTTTCTTTTTGGCCAGGGTCCAAAGAGTACAGACCAAAAAGAAGTCTGCTCCCTCGTGGAGTGAAATGGCCCCAATTTTCCTCTTGCTTTCCTACACACTGGACAGCAGAACCATTCCTGGACCTGGGTAATTCTGGCAAATGAAGATCAGCTCCAGGCACGTGAGCAGCTCCATGCACAGCTCCATGCACACAGGGCCGGGCAGTGCTGCACCCAGCGACTCCATGGCTCTCAGGCTACTGGCCTGACCAGATGCTAGAACAGCCCTGGAAATGCTCTGGGAGCCGTCACAACAGCGCCATGGCCAGACCTGGCTTTCCTCCAGGGGATGAAGCAAGGAAGCTCCTTGAGTGCTTCAGGGGTGCCAAGATATGCCAGGAAGCCAGGAGGTCAAATCCAGCTGCAGCTCCTTTCTGTGTAGCTTGGGTACCAAGATGGCTTTTAGATTTTTTAGACCTTTTTTTTTTGAGATGTAGTTTCGCTCTCATTGCCCAGGCTGCAGTTCAGTGGGATGATCTCGGCTCACTGCAATATCTGCCTCCCAGGTTCAAGAGATTCTCCTGCCTCAGCATCCCGAGTAGCTGGGATTACAGGCATGTTCCACCATGCCTGGCTAATTTTGTATTTTTAGGAGAGACGGGGTTTCACCATGTTGGTCAGGCTTGTCTCTAACTCTTGATTTCAGGTGATTTGCCTGCCTCGGCCTCCCAAAGTGCTGGGATTACAGGCATAAACCACCATGCCTGGCCATTTTTTTTTTTTTTTTTTTAAATTTTTTATTGGATTATAGGTTTTGGGGTACATGAGCAGAGCATGCAAGACAGTTGCGTAGGTACACACATGGCAGTGTGCTTTGCTTTTCTTCTCCCCTTCACCCACATTTGGCATTTCTCCCCAGGCTATCCCTCCCCACCTCCCCCTCCCACTGGCCCTCCCCTTTTCCCCCCAATAGACCCCACTGTTTAGTACTCCCCTTTCTGTGTCCATGTGTTCTCATTTTTCATCACCCACCTATGAGTGAGAATATGCGGTGTTTCATTTTCTGTTCTTGTGTCAGTTTGCTGAGGATGATGTTTTCCAGATTCATCCATGTCCCTACAAACGACACGAACTCATCATTTCTGATTGCTGCATAATATTCCATGGTGTATATGTGCCACATTTTTCCAATCCAGTCTATTATCAATGGGCATTTGGGTTGATTCCAGGTCTTTGCTATTGTAAACAGTGCTGCAATGAACATTCGTGTACATGTGTCCTTATAGTAGAACGATTTATAGTCTTTTGGATATATACCCAGTAATGGGATTGCTGGGTCAAATGGAATTTCTATTTCTAAGGCCTTGAGGAATCGCCACACTGTCTTCCACAATG